CCGTCTCATTTTCAAATTCGACAGCACTGGTGCTCAAGGATCATCAAACCTGTAGTATGCAAAGGTGTTGATGATGTAACAGATAGGAATGCAGTGTTCATAAAACAAAGCGACGAATGTGATGTAAAAGTAGACATGACAAAATAGATTTAAAGAACAGGATCAAACCGATCGTGGTGTTTTTCATTGACGTCAATGGTTAAGTGAGAAAGGAAATGGATATTTGATTATCATCAAAAACACGTTCTCCAACATTGACACGTTGATTTCTACCATTTCTTCGCGGCACGTTCTTACCTCGAAACAGAAAAAGTATTCATCTGTAGATAAAAATGACTTGATTCGATGGATGTTCGAAATTTCATTTGTATGCTTCAGAGTTAATCACCAAATCTGATTGTGCATAGATAAGTCAAACGGTTGACTTCCTTCTTTATAAACTTCTTTGTTGATCTTCGAGAGGAAAGACTTCTGAGAGTTGTTCTCTTGCTATTCTTTGTCTGACATTCCACAGAATAAATAGGAGAGAAAAACGGAGAGATATAAATTAGGAGAGATACATCGATGAATGTCATTTGCTTTCACTAGAAAACATTGTCTTGACAATGTGGACTACTCCTATTCTTCTCATTATTTTTCTCCATTTCAACGGCGTAACACCAGGTAAAGATTTTCGTTTCTGATTGATCCTATCTGAGTCAACTTCTGATAAATTAGAAATAAACGAAGAAACTTGACTCCATCGTTCTGTCGGGTTTGACTCTCTTCTAAAAAATAAGGAAGCTGCCAGCACGGTCTTTGTGCGATTCATACATGAAACACGATCGAAGTCGTTGTTACTATTCTAAAAGAAGAGACACTCGAGTTTCATCTATTTCGAACCAACTTCGATTAAGTTACCTTCCACAGATGCGGATATCATTTTCAGTAGCAAAAAGCCTTCTTTCAACAAAATCATATGATAGTCTCATCTTACTATCTCCTATCTTTTAAGATTTGTCTATTTATTCTTTCTTCCATGTATCAGCTCCACCTCCGACAAAACAAAGCTACATTGCATCTCTATGGAGCACAGTCACGACTAGGCATCATATCTTGATTTTTGTTCTTTACATTACAACTCTACATTGAGATCTCTTTCCAATGCTCTTGTCAAAAAACGGTTTAGTTTTATCAATAAAAACGATAGGATCTCACTCCTGGCTGATGAACCTTCAATACTAAAAGATCTGATTGGGTGATACTCACTCGGTAATGAAAATCTTCGATACAAGAATTATTGATAGAGCAAACGAAGAGAAATGCCAGTTCTCATTAAAAAAATATCTTGAAACTGTTTATTCAGAATACAGATTTTCTCGCTCGATCTCGGTAATAAGGGATGTTGGTATCAAATCAAATTTCTCAGTTGAGAATTACAAGTGTTGCATTCTTCTATGAATATCGAAACTATTTCAAAACAATTCCTTCTCTTTTCGCCTGAGCTTTTTTTCACACAAGGAAGTGAACAAATCTATTCGATCTTGATCAATTATTGCTATTGATCTCAATTAGTTTTTTAATCCATGCTCTGTTCACGTTTCTCTCGAACACCATACAAGAACTATCACCTTAAGTGATGTCAAGGGGGTCAACCAATGCCTTTGTGTCCTTCCCACGAGAGAACTTGTGTGGAAATCGATCGGCAATTTCTGTTCATTGGCGACTCTCATCTCAGTTTGATTTGTTTCGTATTTTAGCTATCTCATTCAATCAACCAAACTTCTCTTCAACCGCAACTTGGAATTCCAATGGAATTACTTTTGCTGATCGATCTATTGTTGGTTACAATCTTCGTGGCATCTTCATCAGCATAAACAACACAATCTACATCGCTAATCAAGAAGAACAACAAATCGTCATATGGGAAGAGAGAAACACCAGCCCAACAAAGAACATTTCTGCCAGTTTCGAATTCTCCTCTTCGCTGTTCGTGAGATCGAACAGTGATATCTATATTGACGATGGTGATACGAACGGTCGGGTGCTGCACTGGTCATCACAAACAGGGGAATTTGACACTGTGATGAATGTGGAGTCATCATGTTGGGGTCTGTTTGTCGACAACAACGAGAACTTGTACTGTTCTATGGCAGAAGTTCATGTGGTGATGAAAAGATCGTTGAATGATCCTGTGATGGAATCAAGCATAGTTGCTGGAACATACACTGATGGATCAGCCTCAAATGAACTTGACGAACCTATGGGGATCTTTGTGGATGTGAACTTGGATCTATATGTGGCTGATTGTAGAAATAATCGAGTGCAGTTGTTCCCGTCCGGGCAATGGGATGGCATGACAGTCGCTGGACATGGATCAGCATATCCAACAATCTCATTAGATTGTCCAAGCAGCATTGTGTTAGATGCGGCGAAACATTTGTTC